CTCCGCCTCGCTGCCGCGGAAGCCGTCGGTGCCCTGGCAGCGCCAGCTGGACCAGCCGCGAGATCGAGACCAGGCGCTGGGCCCGCCCCGACCGGTGGGCAAGGTGAGATCCTGGCGAGGGTTGGAGCCCGGGGATGGACGGCAGGCCGGGGACTGGACCCGGCCTGAGAGCGGACTGAAGGCTAGGCAAGACCGCGCGCCGGTACTGAGCTCCGTGTGCTGTGTGACCCCAGGTCTAGCCTAAACCTCTCTGAGCTCCGTTTCTCCCGGCTAGGAAGGGCGAGCATAACTCAAGACTGCGGGTGGAGAGGAAGGGGCGGGATTACAACTGTTGTTCCCCGCCCCTTCCCGCAGCTGGCTGAACTACAGGGCGAGGTGGCCGCGCTGCGTGAGGAACAGAAAGCGCTGTCCCGCCAGGTGGAGTCGCTGAGCTCCGAACTCGGGGCCCTGGCGCAGCAGCAGGAGCAGCTGTGCCGCCAGCTGCAAGACTTGGACTCCCGGCTGCGAGCTGGGTGCGCCCCGCCCTCCCCGCTAGCGCCGCCCCTGGACGGGCCCATCCACCAATGAGCGCTCCCTAGGCAGTGCCTGCGGCGGCCACGCCCCCTCCCACAACATTGGCCCGGGCACTGGAAGCCACGCCCCTGGGAGGGCCATCCACGTGGCCCCGCCCCTTGGGCAGGCCTCCTACATAGCCTGCTCAGGCCCGGACCATCCTCTCATTCCAGCCCCACCCCTCAATCAGCCTCCTCTAGGTGGGCTTGAGAGACCTCCGTGGGGGGAGGGAGGGGATCGTCCTCAGCCAGGCAGGATCCCGCCCCAAACTGGTCAAGCTCCGCCTCCAAGTGTCCATTGATGGGTCCCTCCATCCATCAAACCAGGCTCTGATCAACTCCTCTGTACACTTAGGCCTCGCCCCCCCCCTTTCAGTTCTTGCCTTCTGAATCTAGTTCCACATTGGAAGCCACTGACCTTCTTTCCTAACCCTTGACCTCCAACAGGACCTCAAAGTTGGATCTGAAGGACAATGGTCTTCCAAGCCATGAAGACCACAGGCCGCCAAGTCTGGTGAGCCTCCTCCGGGAGCCCCGGGGCCGTCTGTGCGGTGGGAAGTAGGGTTGAGGAGACGCAGACTCTGCCTTTCAACTCCCCCCCCCCCTGCCTCCCCAGCACGATCGCCTGGCCGAGATGGAGCGGACTCAGGCCCAGCTGCGGGATGTAATCCAGAACCTGCAGCTTGTCTGGAGGACAGCAGGTTTCCAGGGCCAGCCTCTGCCCCTCCAGGCTCCCTGCGTGAATGGGGACTCCACCTGAGCTGTCCGTCCCACCCCACGGGGCCTGGGAGCCACCACCTTTGGGAGGGGGAGGCGATGATCCATGAAGGTCTTGAGCTGCCCAAGTCATGTAAGATGGCCTGAACGTGAGGAAGGAGAGGTGCGGGCCGCCGGGGCTGCCCGGTAAACATAAAACTGAGCTCCTGGAGAAGGGGGCATGCCATAGATGTTCACATCAACTGTGTGGCCTTGGGGCCATCTCCTGAGGGCCTCCATTTGGGCATCTGTGAGAATGTATGTATATGTATATATATTCACACAGGCACGGGAGAACCCTTGGACTCAGGTATTCAATAAAAGCCATCGCTCACCAATCATCCGTCCCCCTCTGCTCCATCTGCACTCACCGGGCGCATCCCCTGCCAATCCCAAACCGCAAACCACAGGGTCTTCCCAAATCACCTCCCCTGAAACCATAGCTCTGTCCTGGCAGGAAAAGCCATTGGTTTGGGACGCTGGAGGAAGGCAGGGTCTGTGGGTGTCCGTCTGCCCCGGTGGAGGAGGGGTTAGGCCAGGATGGATGGATCTCTCTAGAAAAGACATGGCTCTCTGGACGTGATGGACACCCGAGCCCGTGGGGAGAGCGGGGGTGGCGCGTGCTGGTGTGCGGGGTCTGCGGTGGGAGCCGGCCTGGGACCGTCAGGCGGGAAGAGACACCAGTGGACGGCCGGCTGCTTGGGATGGGCCCGGCGGGGTGGCGAGGCGGGGGTCGGGG